TATCTTTGGAATTTCCTGACATTTGAGGGTTTCTTATTTTCCATTTTAGGATTGAAGGCATAAGTCTTTGTATTTAATTTCCTGAGGCTTTAGAGAAAATGAAGAAAGAAGAGAGAAGAAAGGGAAGAAAGAAAAGAAGGAGAAGAGGAGGAAGATGAGAGAAAAGAGGAAAGAAAAAAGGGAAGGGAAGAATAAGAGGAGAGAAAGAAAAAGAAGAAGAAAGATACACTTTCTCAAACTGAGGATCTGAATCCACTGGTTTGGCTCTTGCTCAGGTGGACTAATCGGACTATGAAAACAAGCTGAATATGTTCTCTAAAGCGCACAGCCTGGCTGTGTAATTCTAAACCCTCATAACCTCAAGATCCTTAATCATTTCTTTCTTCAGACTTGGCTTGGCTTTCTTGCTTCAGAGAGGGCAGTTAAGTCTGCCAAATTCAGAGCTGAGCCTTTTTCTTTTCTTTTCTTTTTAAGAGATAGGACCACAATAAAGAACACGCTTTATTTTTTAAGAGCAGAAAGTGAACGTCTTGCCCTAATCACCCCCATTGTTCTATTTTAAACAAAACGAAAAATCCAAAGCCAAAATTCTTAAAACACAGCTGATGCAACCATATTCAAACTGGCCAAGAAAAATTTCATCTTTGGACCGAAACTAAGTAACTTTAGCTGGTTTTAAAGAAAATGCTGGAAGACTGAAAAGAGCAGATGGTAGCAAAGAGGGAAAGATAATGGGAATAACTGTTCACCAGGTTGATCTGTCTGCTCAATGATGACACAGATGAAAGACTCCAAGTTCCCAGAACCGACCTGCCCCTGGAACAGTGGGCCTCTTTGGAGGAACAGCCCAGAACAGGCTTGGAAGGGCTGCTTTTGGGAAGCACTGGACAGGAGCAGAAAAGTCACGAGAGTATTAGGGCCCTGGGGTTGGCACTGGTTTGGGAAAGGATTTAGAATTGGAGATCGGTATAAACTTTCTCAGAACATAAAGAAGGAAGCCTCTGAATTCTTCTGTAGATCTCATATAACACTGACACCAGAGCCGGGAAAGAGAGTACAACAAAGCCAAGGAGAGACCAGTCCATTTATGGAATAGTGACACAAAAATATTAAATAAAATATTAGCAAATAGAATTCAGCAGTACATTGAAAGAATAATAAACTAGGACCAAATGGGAATTCATCCCAAAAATATAAGGATGGGTTAACATTAGAATATAAATTCACTATTAATAGGTCAAAGGAAAAGGACCATATGATCATATAAAAGTGCTGAAAAGTAATTTGACAAACTCTAACATCCAATCCTAATTTTCTAAACTCTTAGTAAAAAAAGAAATATAAATGAACACTACCTTGATACCATAAAAACATATCTCAAACAAGAGTACCTGCGAGGGGAACACTAGAAGCAGTATCATTCAAGTCAGGGGGGAGATAAGGCTGCACACCGCCATCAGCACTGTTATTTAACACTGTTCAGAGAGTATTAGCCAGTGCAATTCAATAAGAGACAGAATTAGGAGGTATAAATTAAAAAGAAAAGGTAAAAGGATAATTCTTTGCAAACAATATGATTATATATATAGAAAGTCCAAGAGAATCAACTGATAGACAATTAGAATCAATAAGAGATTTCTTTAACGGGTCTTTTAAAAGAATAATATACAGGGGCCGGCCCGGCGGCGCAAGCTGTTAAGTGCGTGCGCTCCGCTGCGGCGGCCCGGGGTTCACCGGTTCAGATCCCGGGCGCACACCGATGCACCACTTGTCAAGCCATGCTGTGGCAGCATCCCATACAAAGTAGAGGAAGATGGGCACAGATGTTAGCCCAGGGCCAGTCTTTCTCAGCAAAAAAGAGGAGGATTGGCATTGGATGTTAGCTCAGGGCTGGTCCTCCTCACAAAAAAATAAAAAAATAATATACAAAAATAAACGGTTTTCTTAAATACAAAGACCATATAATGAGAAAGAAGATACATTAACAATGGCAACAAAGAGATACAATACTTAGGAATAAACTTAGTAAACACATAGAACCTCAAATAAAAACTAACATAAATTTGTGTGTGAAATTTGATAATGATATATAGAACATTTAGAGAAATACATGCAAGAATGGTCAAGACATTTTTGAAAAATGAGAATAATAAAATAAGAGGTTTATAATTATTAAAAAGGAGACCAAATGGTCATTTTTGCATGTGTATGACACGATAGTATATGTAGTATGTCCAGAGGAATCAATTGACAGATTATTAGCAAGAGTAAGAAGTTCCTGTAAACTCTACTAGATATTAAAACATATTATGGGGGCCGGCTCCGTGGCTTAGTGGTTGAGTGCGCGCGCTCTGATGCTGGCGGCCCGGGTTCGGATCCCGGGCACGCCCCAAGGCACCACTTCTCCGTTCAACCCGAGGCCGAGTCCCACGTACTGCAACTATAAGGATGTGAGCCTGTGACATACGGCTGTCTGCTGGGGCTTTGGGGGGAAAAAAATGAATAAATAAAATCTTTAAAAAAAAAAAAAAAAAAACATATTATGAGGTTAAAATAATTAAAGCAGTTTGGTACTGGAAAAGAAACAGATACCCTAATTAATTAAACAGAATACAGCCAGAAAAAAATAATAACAGCTAACATTTACTGAGCATTTCCTATATGCCAAGCTCTGTTTTAACTTATGTTTACACTTATTTACTCATCCAATCTTCACAACAAAGCTATGAAATGTTTGCTATAATTATCACCATTTTACAGATAAGTAAAGTGAGGCCAAGACAAATTAGTAGATTGTCTAATGTCACACAGGTAGTAAGTAGCAGAGCTAGTAAGTACTCTGGCTCTAGAGTCTTCTCTAATGCTGTATACTGCTCATCACAGCATTATTTGTAGACTGGAAACAACCTAAGTGTCCACCAGTAGGAGAATAGCTAAATAAAATATGGTTTATCCACATGATGTAAAGAATGTGGCAGTTAAAAAAGGAAGGTGAAAAAAAAAGAAGGTGGTAACACTGAAAGATCTCAATGATATCCTAAGTAAAAAACAGTATAGGGGCTGGCCCCCTGGCGTAGCGGTTAAGTGCACGTGCTCTGCTGCTGGCAGCCCGGGTTCGGATCCCGGGCGCACACCGACACACTGCTTGTCAGGCCATGCTGTGGCAGCCTCCCACGTAAAGTGGAGGAAGATGGGCATGGATGTTAGCCCAGGGCCAGTCTTCCTCAGCAAAAAGAGGAGGATTGGCATGGATGTTAGCTCAGGACTGATCTTCCTCACAAAAAAAAAAAAAAAAACCAGTATATATAGCACGATTTCATTTTTAAAAGGATATAATATATATAATTATAATATTTATATAACTTATACATATAATTCTAAAATATGAAAACTTTTTTTTCCCCGGAAGAGAATATAAGAAATTGTGTTTTTTGCAGCCAAAAGAATCCTACCTGAGAGACCATGTTGAGTAGGGGAACGACATGATCAAATCTGTATTTCTAGAAGACTCCTCAGCCTGCTGAAGAGGAATATACTAGGGTGGGGATTGGAACAAGATGACCAAGGTGGTAGCAGTGGAGGAGATGTAGTCAGATTCAAGAGAACGTTTAAAACTAGAACCGAAGGACTTGCTGATGAATTAGATTGGGGTATACGAAAAGACAGGAATCAGAGATGACTGCTAGGTTTTTGGCCTAAGTAAAATGAAGGGTGATGCCATTTACTAAGATGGCAATTATTTTGGGAGGAGACGGTTACTGGTGGCCTGGATTGAGAATTTAGATTTGGACATGTTAAGTCCAAACTATTAGACAGACAAATGGAGACCCGAGGCAGGAGATGGCTGTACAAACCTAAAGCTGGGGGAGGGAGTCAGGGCTGGAGATGTACATTTGGGAATAAGCATGAGACTGGATGAGACCATTTAGGGAGTGAGTACAGATGGAGGAGAGAAGTTCCTGCTCTGATCCCGGGATGGGGTGTGGATGGGTTGAGAGGAGTGTTATTCTGACACGTAGAGGGAGAGGACAATGCACTGGTGAGGCGGGACTACCAGGAGAGTGGGTGACCTAGAAGCGAAGTGAACACAGTGTGTCAAAGCGGAGCAAGTCAAGTTGTTTCTCAACTGCCAAGAGGTCAATCAAGAAAAGAACAGAGAACTGGCAATCGGATTCAGCAAGATGGAGGTCGTAGGCGGGCTTGGTCAAGAGCCGTTTCAGGATAAGTGGCAAAAGCCCCACTGCAGCGGGTCAAGGAAAGAATCGGAGGTAAAGCAGTGACGACGGTAAGTAGAGACAACTGCTCTGAAGACTGTTGCTCTAAGGCTGGTTTCCAGGTTAGTGGGTATCAAACCAATTAGCACATTACAGAAATAGACTAGAAATTAGGTTTCAAACCAGAAAATAAATTGTTTCCAAAGCACAGATTTTATTTTCAAGCATTCACATGCTTTATTATAGAATATATTATTTTAATATTATAAAATATTCAGAGTGTTTGCATCTCTATGTATAAATAGGAAACAGAGGCTTCGAGGTGTTAAGTAACTTGTTCAGGGTCACATAGATAGACTGTGACAGGGCCAGAGTAAACCCAGGCAGGTTTCTAGAGCCCACACCCAGAAAAACATGAAAGGAAGAGCCAGGAAAGATTCAAGGCACCACGCGCGGTAGCAGCAGAATCAGCGTCAATGAGCACCAGTTAGCAGACTGCCAGTGTTAACACAAGTTTTCATTTAACGCTTGGTTACTATTATTACGAGTACTTATCATATCCAAAGGGTAAGTTTGAAAAGCAAATACTCTTTTTTGAGGATTGAGAGCAAACATAAAACATGTCATCAGTTACTACATTTCCAGGTTTAATCAATAAACTCTCTTAAGCTATGAACAGTCTCAACTAACCACAAGAACCATCAGTTTAAGAAAACATAATTAGGTTGAGAACAGACAGTTGCGATGAGGGATGAACTACTCAAGCAGACAGTCACCATCACCTACCTGTGGTCAGCACTGGGTTTCGGTCTCCCATTCCGCAGTCTTCTGTTCACAGAGGAAGGTGGGGGAGAGGAGGGCAGGGGCGGGGGAGGTAGAGAGGGCAGAGGAGGCAGGTTCCTTTTATCTTTCCTGAAGCTGATGCCTGGGTTCCCATCCTTGTCCCCTTCTCCATCATGTTTGAACGTTCTCCGGGGTTTGGGCAGGGGGTTGATGAAGGGTTTTTGCGGGGAGCCCTCCGAGCCCCTGTACACACTCTCCAGGCTCTGGTTGCAGGGCCTCCTGCACGAGCTTTTCCTTTCCTCCCCAGCCTCAGGGGCAGGCTCCTTGGCTTCCAGGTCCAAGTGGTGGAACCTGAATTCTGAGCCACTCCCGCCCCCACGGTTCTCAGGAAGGGTGGGCCCCTCCTCGGCCTTGTCTGGCAGGCAGTGTGGGGAATAGCAAGTCCCTGGTAACTGGGGATCCAGCCCTGCCGACCCATCCTTCAGAGCCTGCTCAAGTTTCTTGACCTGCTTCAGCACAGAGAGGCTATCATTCTGAAAGCGCTGTTGGCCAAGCCTCCGCTCTCGGCTTCTGCCCAAGGTAGGAGCCAGCTCCCTGTCTGGTGAGCTTAGGTCTTGCCTCTGCTCTGTATCCTGTGCTCCGACTTTCACTGACCCTTTATTCCTCTCATTCTCTTTGCTCTCTGTTTCCAGCCTTGTTCCATTCTCAGCCTCTGTGACCCAAGTCCTCACGCCATCACTACTTCTCCTCTCCATCACACAGGACGTCAGGTAATCCTCTTGCCCATCTGCTTTCCTGCCAGGTGCAGGAGTGGGCAACTCCTTTTTTCCTTCCCATTCGGAGATCTTGTCCTTTATGCTGAGGGACTTGTGCCGGGCCCTGCCGTGGGCAGGAGGGCAGGGGTTCTGAACACCGCTAAGCTGCCTCTTGCCGGCCCTGCTGGCTTCTTGAGCACTGAGATCTGAAGCTGGGTCGCTGATGATCATATTTGAGCCGAACATGTTCTGCTGAACACAGTCCACTCTTGACTCTAGCATCAGGTTACTGAGGCTTCCCAGTGGGCTTCTTCGGAAGGATGAAGACTGATCAGTCTCTAGGAAAGGAATGGAGGACCTAAACGGCTGCCTTCGAGGATCTTCTCCAGCCTTTGGGCCTTCCACCTTGACCCTGAACAAGAAAGACAAACACTGGGTGAGAGATTCTTGGTTATTGCTCCTGGCTGGTCATAGAGATTTGCTAGAACTTAGCTATAAATGTTATATACTAGTTGCAAACCACAAATATTGAAAACACCATTTAAAAAATTACTTTATGTTTTTCTTGGGGAGACAGCATGGTGGAATGAAAAGAGCTATTGGATTTTGGAGTCCAATAGACTTGGGTTTAAATCCCAATTCAACCACTGACCAGCTGTGTGACCTTGGGCAAGGTGCTTAACTGGTCTAAACCTCAGTTTCCTCATCTGTGAAAAGGGAATAATAATAATACATATCTAACAGGGTGGCTGTAAATGTTTAATGAGCCAGCCCACATAAAGCATCTAGTATGTCGTGAATGTACAATAAATGGTGGTTATTGTTATTATTAGCTCTTTTCCCTGATGAAAACAGGAGAAATTTCATGAGATAAAAGATTATGTAAGTTAACCTCTGCTTCTGTTATCAACAGATGGTCCTTTGGAATGACTATTTAAAAATTAAAACAACGCCATAAGTCATGAAGTTTTTGCTAATTCTGGGCTTGATAAGTTGTCCTGATTTGAGTGGGGAAAGCCACATGATTGGCTGCATTTGAACTGAACATCCTCTAGAATGTGAGCCCTACTGGACTGGTCTCTCCATGAGGACTGGGATTGCTTTGTTTTGTTTTGAATTTTGGCCCGTTTCGGCTACTGCTGCATCCCTAGCACCTAGCATAATACCTGGCAGGGTAGGAGGTCAATAAATATTTGTTGCATGAATGAATGAGTGAATCAACAAGCAGGTTCCGATTTCAGGCATGACCTAGAACTGCACTGTCCAATACAGTAGCCACTAGCCACACATGGCTTTTTAAACTGAAATAAAATTAAAGCCTCAGTCCCTCAGTTGCACCAGCCACGTGTTGAATACTCAGTAGCCACATGTGGCTAATGGTTACTCTATTGGATGGAGCAGAAGAACATTTCCATCACTGCAGAAAGTTGTGGCCTAGAACATACATGTGAGGATATAGACCTCCAAATATGGCTTTAGCAGATTAGTTAGTGCCATGAAGATGTTAAAAGTTATTTTGAAAGAAAAACAGAAAAACATTTTAAGCTAGTCTAATAAGAATAGGAGTATCTGTGTTTTGAAATGCAAAACATTCTTCCACCAGCAAAGGTCATGACTGAGCACAGTGACCTGAGATATGCCAAGATTAGCAAATGTGCATGGACCAGCTTCATGCTGTACATTTTCTGAGTATACAGATCTGACTATATAGAATTTACATGATATTAGCACATAAATTCTGAAACTCCAGTTAAGGTTCGCTTGAGGGATGAACAATAAGCAATTTCATGCATCTAGTAACTTTAGCTGTCTATTCCAAAGACTAACAGTTGTTTCTGTAGACTTTTCCCTGGATTGGAACATTAGCACAAAAGTTGTGCTGCTGTTCTTGGTTGCTCAGCATAAATTAGAAACTTGTGAAATTGCAAACACATTTTCATGTCAAATATGGCTATCAAAGCAGAATTCCTTATTTAAATAAATAATTAGCATTCATAACAGAGTGCTTACAAAAGAGAAACACATGTTTTAATTGTCCTGTCACCACTGAGGACATTAGCATGAATTCAGATTTTAGTCAGAATCAGAATCAGTCTGTGGATATTTTATTGCGAGTTCAAAAGGCAGAAGTTAAAGCCCTTGGTCTCAGGGTGCCAGAAGCAAGATAAAGAGGACAGACACATGAAACCATGATTCAGGTTAGTTCATGCTTAGTGACAATTGATGATATAATATATAATCATTAATACCATAAGTACTGTTAAACAATATTGACAGTAGATAAATACATGGCTTTAGAGGCAGAGGGACCTGCGTTTGAATCTTGGATCCATTTTTTTCATCTTAAAATAAGAACCCTATCTCCTCTCTCTGGACTGGAACTTTATTGGTGCAGAGGCTAAATTTACCTTGTTTGCTGTGCCCCGTACATAGTAGGTAGTCCATAAATATTTATTAAATGAATGAATGGATGAGTTAATATAGGTAATGTGCCCAGAGTGCAGCACACATTATAAGTCTTGATATTAACAAATGGTAACTAGCGTTATTGTAATGATTATAGTTATTGTCTAAGATTCCAAACATCTGGAGTGACTTCACAATCTAAAAACTGAAGAGGAAAAAAGGATGGCTTGCTGGAAGACCACGTCGGATTTACAAAGTTCAAGCAAGAGAGGCAAGGATGATAAAACCAGGGGCAGAGTGCCTTCTCCACACAACTGTTGCATCCAGGAGTTTCTCGAGTTCCTGTTTCCAGGATTCTATGGCCCCAGAAGGGGCTCTGGACTGGCGCAGAGCTGTGAACAGCTCAGTGATTGCCAACTCCTTTGCAGAATGTGAGAGAGAATCAGAGGAAAGGGCTCCATCTGGAGAGAAGACAGCCTTGCTTGTAAAAGATGGGTAAAGCTGGCTATGTGGACAGATGCAGCTGCAAAGATTTAGAGCTCAACGATAATTAAAATACTTGTGCATCTTAGTTAGAAAAATAAACCCTGGACTGGAAACCGTCAATGGGGATATGGCCTGAAGCCGCCAGGGGATCATTTTCTCAACACACTGGGCACTAGACAGACCTTCCCTGGACCACTTTGGTCTCAAGTTCTTAACTGAGCACAGCACGTGGAGATGATTTACAGGAGGTGCATCACAATGACTCAGAAAAAAATGCCTCCTCAGTTCAAGGAAGCAGGGTTAGCGAGGAGGGAAAGGCCGGAGAGAAAGGAAGGAGACCGAGAATCTGGGCCAACTTCTACACTCTCGGGGGAGAAAAGTTCTTACTTGTCAGCCAATTTGTAGCTCAGGTTTTCAGGCTGGCTGTGGCTGCCCTTGGCTGGCCTGCACACTGTCATCATGTCAGCACCAAGAGGAGCTCCAAGTCGCCTGGGGGAACAGGGATGCACACTCAGTGAGCCATAAGAGCAATCTCGGGCCCACACCCCAAAATATTTATCCCTGAGAGAGTCCACCCAAGAGTAGGGGTGTGTGACAGGAATGCACCATTCAGAATCCCTGACCCAGGAACGGGGCACGGGCACAGAATCCTGAGGTTCAGACCCTATGCCAACTCTTCTCGGGTGTTTTTGTGTGTGTATCTCTATATCTTTTAGCTAAGGTCACCAAAAATTTTAAGAAAACATATACCCTTAGAAAGCAAAACATAACTCCCAGCACGGCCCAACATTTTTTCAGGCTCCCTAAGAACCTGTGAAGAAGAGAAGAGTTGTTACTTTACTTGAGCAAGAAATAAACCACACATCAAAGCTGAAATATCCACAGAGGTACTCTACTCTTCTGATGGCCTTAAGGTCCTTGGCTTCAGGGTCTTGCAGGGAGAGCCCCTCCCAGCGCCTCCAAACCCAGGAGGAGGAAAGGCCTAACCACTAGGTCATCTGTCTGGTCTAAGGAAAACTAGGGGATGGTCCCCGCAAACCCAGGAATCCCAACGAGCATCTCAAACCTGAAAGATAACAAGAATCATGTGGATACCAAACCAGCAGCCTCAGTGCAGAAGTAGTAGTTTCATAAAACTCCAGTGCCTGACATCCAAATGAACTAAAGTAACTAATTAAAATGTATTATTTCAACACCTGAAATTTTTACAATGTTATAAACCAATGTTACTGCAATAAACAAAAAATTTAAAAAAAAAAAAATGTATTATTTCAATAGCAAGTCCCTACAGAACTCTATCTCTCAACACAAGGACAAACGGACATTGGTCAGGTGGACGTGGCTAGGAAGAACAGACCCCAGCGCAGAATGCCAACAGGATAGACCATGCAATTCTTCTGTGAAGCATGAACACCGCAGGACTGGTCCCTCCTGATGGAGAGGAGGTAACTCCTTGACTAGAGGTTCAAGGAGTATTGAGATACTGGAGATTCACGTTTCTTTTCCACTGAACTCCAGGGAATCCCTCTCCCAACCCCTTCTCATGTTTCTAAGATTCCTACCCCTTCTCCCAGGATGGTTTCCCGGCCAGGTGACAGGGTGGCTGCCCAAGGTCCTGGCCTGGGCATCTCCTCCCCCAAGAAATCAAAGAGCTGGGCTTCAAGACATTCATACAACTCTTGGGAACAAGGAAAGGGAGAAAGAGAAAAAGAAAAGGAGAGTGAATATGGGTAACAAATTAAAAAGAGGGAGGTTAGGGACCATGAGCTGAAAAATCAAGGAAGGGAACAGACAGCTCCAAGAAACTGTGTGTTTGGGGAGGGTGATGGAGCTAGGGCCTGCCCATGGAGCTCAGCTGTCCCCTTACCCAGTGACGGATCACCCTACATTTTGGGGTATGTCAATGCTGAGCGGAAGCCCAGTTCTCCAAAGAAGCCAGGCCCCAGGGCTCTCCCTTCAGCCATGGAAGAGAGCCGTGAAAGGTCTTTCAGGGACAGAAAGGAACTCAGTGCCCCTCTCATAATGCTCCACAAAGCTTCTGGAGTCTCTCCATTTGGCTGGGCTGACAGACACTGCTCTTCTGTCCTGCATCTGGCAGAGGGCCCCACCGGACGTCAAGGATAGCGGCCACTCCCTGCCGCCCTCCTCATGTCTGCCCTCCGCCTCCACACAGACCAAACCCACAGTGATGCAGCTTTGTTCCATGTAAGCAGCAACTCTCTCCACCCACCCTCTTCTTTCAAGCTGGCATCCTCTTTCCCTGACGATGAATAGGTGCCAGGCCCTGTGCAGGATGCTCTGGGGCCTCAAAGATGAGTAAGACATGGTGTCTGCCCCTCAGGAAGAGCATCCAGGATTGTGCTTGGGTCATGCCCAACCCTGTATCCTGGCTCTCTCCCCAAGGGAACGGCTTTTCTATACTTCCCAGGAAGTCATAGCTTTTCCAAAAGGGACAAAGTCCACTGTGTCTAATGCACAGAGAACCAAGTATGGACGTTGAGGTTAAAGATCCCAAGAAACACTTAAACACCATGGCACTTAAGTGAAATTGCTCCCCACTGGGCAGTAATAACTTCCAGTCCTAAAACCATGGTCTCTAGAGAAACAGCTGATACCACATTCTGAGAAGCAAGTTCAAGTGGGCTTCAGGGGCCGGAACTGAGGGGGCACAGAACTCCTACAAACTCAGCAATCAGGCCACTAGCTTTTCTGAATTCACAGGGGAATAGAAAACGCTACTCCCACAAAACGGACCCTTCCCTTTTGTCTCAGATGTTTAAAAGTCATTAATTAGGTGATAAGCCTAGCCTAATTTGCTAGTTGGGAGTACTCTATCACTTAAATTACCATGATAAATTTCACCGTCACTTCATAGGTCTAGGATTGCAAGACGGAGCTGTTTCCCAAAGAGTGGACCACTGCGGATCTATTCCAGTCAACTTGGGGACCTCGTTAGACAGGTAGATTCCTGGGCACCACTCTGATGCACCAAAACGGACTGGGGGCTGGCCTCGAATCTGCATTTAAATATGGTAAATCAAAGGCCTCAGGTGATTTCTACATAACCCAAGGTTCTTTATATCTTCCTAGGCAATGTGGCCTTGTGATCCAAACAGACTGGTTTCCAGGAAGTATAATGAATGCATGACTAGTAACACATTTTCCCACTCAACTGCTTTCCATAAAAACAGAACTTCCCATTCACCAGATGGGCTTAATTAGTACTAATAATTTTAATTAGAATTAAAATGTTATACAAAATTTTGAAGCTAGATGATGGGTACATGAAAGTTCATATTTTTTTGTACATTCGATCATTTTCATAAGTTTTTAAAACGGTCTTACAAATTGAGGAAAAATATTTTTTAAATTGCAACACCTACAGTGGATTATGTTTACCCATCAAGTCCATAATCTAATCCCATTTTTCTTCCTGCTAAAGTGAATACTGTAAAATCTGTTCTTGATTCAAAGTTCTCTTTGGGCATCAATGTCAAGTTGATTGGAGGGCTCACAGGAACCTAAGAAGCCCTGTGGATGAGTCTTCTTAACTCTTAATCTGTTAGGAACTGCCTTCTACTGTCTCACAAGGCTGGTGTTTCCAGATGGCCTTTGCTAGTTCCCCATATGGCAGTGGAGGAAAGAGAGCAGGCAGGCCGGTGTGGTGGGGATTGTAAAGGAGCTGCCATCTCCCGAGCTGGCTGCTCCCCTCCATCCTTGAGGTGCCCTCAGGCTCTCTTGCAAGAGCTGCTCTCAGGGAAAGATCTGATATGTCACTTCCTCCTTCCTACCTGTGGGAAAACACTTTATATCTGTTTTAAAATCTTGACTCTTTTGTGGGGAGGTATTTGTTTTTTAATTAATAATTTCACATTTAGTACTTAATAAAAGAAAAATAGTGTTTTCAGAGGTCAGGCTGGAATTTTAAGCAGGTAAACTTAAAGTGGGTAAACTTAAAGGAATTATAAAATAATACAGGTTTTTGATCTGGGGATGTCAGTCTGGAGCAATTATGTTTTCTGTGGGCTTTTGAGACTGACCAGAAGCATCTCACTGTGACCTTTTCTCTCTTGAAAAATTAGAGATAATTCAGAGAGGTCATTAGGAGTAAGAGGTTTTCTCAGCACACTTGTGAGGCCAGCGTGGTCACAGCGCGAGCCCAGTGAGAAAGCTACTCATGGTCTGAGGCCTGGCCTCTCAGAGTGCTTCCACCTACGTTAGAGCACTGTTCATATTTTATTCTGGGCATTAATTATCCACTTATAATATTAAAAGTCATACAGGATGCCATGGAGCTCTCACCAACAGTAATAACCTTCCTATTAACTCTGGTGGGGTTTTTATGGTGGCAACAGGGGAGGTGACACATAGTCTACAGAAATTTTGCTGTCAAAGTCGCCTATTAAAAAAGTTCAGGGCCGGCCCCGTGGCTTAGTGGTTAAGTGCGCGCGCTCTGCTGCTGGCGGCCCGGATTCGGATCCCGGGCGCACACTGACGCACCGCTTCTCTGGCCATGCTGAGGCTGCGTCCCACATACAGCAACTAGAAGGATGTGCAACTGTGACATACAACTATCTACCGGGGCTTTGGGGGAAAAATAAATAAAATTATAAAAAAAAAAAAAAAAGTTCAGATATTACTGTTTTAGAGATTGCTAGAAAAATAATCTGGACATGTTTAAGCCACGGGGGGAAAACTGATTTTCCCCAAATCTTAAAACAAAAACAGTGATTTAAATAAAAAGTGAAATCTGGAAATGTCGATCAACTTATGACTGGATAAACAAAATGACATATATCCATACAATGGAATATTATTCAGCCATAAAAAGGAATGAAGTACTATTACATGCTACAAAATGGATAAACCTTGAAAGCACACTAAGTGAAAAAGCCAGACACAAAGGGCCACATACTGTATTCCATTTACATGAAATGTACAGAATAGGCAAATCCATGTAGGGAGCAGGGAACTGGGATTGATTGCTCATAGCTAAGGGTTTCTTTTCGGGAAAATAGAGATGTTCTGGAATTAGATAGTGGTGACAGTCGTACAACATAGTGAATATACTATGTCACTAAACCGTACACTTGCTAAATGGTGAATTTTATGTGAATTACATCTCAATTTGAAAATACACTAAAAGCATATTCAATGAAAAAAATAAGAAATTTAGAAAGGGGAGGAGGTGGAGTGAAGAATAAAACATATACAATTATAACACATTTCCAGTGCCTTTTACTGCTCTAAGGTTAGTATGTTAGTTCTGAAATGTAGGTAAATATATATTATATATAACTTGATTCATAAAATGGTCATACTTGACATACTGAATAAAAAAATATAATTTAGATCATAAATGATTACATACTAATAAAATTAAATTTTTATGTGTTGCAAATAAAGCTACAAGCTGTTCAACTTTAATGATTCTAATAACTCTTACTTTTATCACGGTATAAAGAGTAGGCAACAAAATTGAGAA